CCCCCCCTTCCCTCCACCCCAGCCCCCTAACTAACCCCTTCACCCTCCCTCCTACAGGCCACTCCGTCGCCCTCAAATTCGCCCTCAACTACCCGGTAGTCCTCCTGGCGCGCAATCCCGCCAACTACGAACCTACCCTCAAAGCCATCACGTCCTCCGGCGGGCAAGCCATCGGAATCAGCACTGACGTATCCGATCCCTCCTCTGTAACGCATGCTTTTGAACAAATCAAGAAAGAATACGGAGACAAGAAATTGGCTGCCGCGATCTACAATGTCGGAGGCAAGTTTGTGAGGAAGCCGTTTTTGGAGTTGAGTTTGGAGGATTATGAGGCTGGGTTTGAGAGTAATGGGTATGTTTAATTCTTCATCTTTATCTTCATATTGAGATGGGTAAAGGCTGGACGGGCCGTTAAGGAACAAAAGCTAATGATATACTATTGGATGAATAGAAAGGGATTCTACATTTTTGCGCAAAAAGCTCTACCGCTCCTCCTGGATTCCGTTGCCGACTCTCCACATCCACCGTCCTTGATCGTGACAGGTGCCACGGCATCATTGAGAGGTGGTGCTCAAATGTCATCATTCGCGAGTGGGAAATTCGCCTTAAGAGCCACCACACAAAGTTTGGCTAGGGAGTTCGGTCCTAAGGGTGTACATGTTGCGCATGCGATCATTGATGGTGTGATTGATATTCCCAAAACCAAGGAGTGGGAGGTGAATGGTGGAGTTGAGGATGGAAAGATCAGACCTGAAGCTGTAAGTACTGGCATGTCAATTTACCGTCGATACAACTAACGCCATGATGCTGCATAGATTGCAGATGCATATTGGTACTTGCACACACAACACAGATCACTATTCACCCAGGAATTGGATGTCAGACCGTTTGTTGAGAAGTTTTGATTTTGATTTTGGATGACAAAATGTTCTTCTCATGAGCTGTCAAGTGCCGTCGAACAATTATAGTGATCGAGGACTGTCACTGGTCTTCGACTTAATGGATAGATAGGATAATTATGAATATTTGGTATATAACTCATGTCCCTCACCATCAAACCCTCTTCTTCTTTGATTTAGTGTAATCTCCAAGACAGTCTGCAGGCAAGAAAGCTTTCTTCATAATGAAAACTTTGGATTTCTTCTTCGCCCATCGTAAAAACCTCGAAGCCAATGGGAATTGTGTCAACGCGGTGATAAGAGGGCGTTAATGGTCACGAAAGAACAATGTGTGTATCACAATAATTCTGGAGCAAGTTAGTAGAGGGTCAGTCCTCCCATAGCAGGTATAGCAATTGACAACACAACATCATGTTGTCACAAGTGACACGAGCCACTTTTTGCTTCGGGAGGACTCCCATGGAGCATTTCACAGTGATACCAGACGTGCAAGCACGAAGGATGTGAAATGGCCATAATGTTTCATTTGACTATGTCTAGCACATCCAGCTGGCAGTAGCCAGGGATCGATGCATATGACGCTCATCGAAAGCACGCCAACCCCAATCCATTTTTATATGCCAAATTTATGCCTTGTTCTTCAACTTCTCCTTGATCTCACGACCGTTCTTGATGCGCTCCAGGATGTTCTCACGGTCCTTGTCCAACTTCAACTTGGTGATGATGACCTTGGATGGGTGGATACCGAGAGGAACGGATTGTCCAGAGGACTTCTCCTTAACGACACGCTCGATGTGGACGATGTATTTGAGACGGTAGACGGAAGTAATCTTTCCCTCGGAACCCTTGTTGGAGCCACGAACGATGGTAACCTCATCATCTTTTCTGATTGGGATAGAGCGAACCTGTAAACTTTCAGTCAGATGTGGAGATATAAAATTGTCGTAAATGGTGTGAACACACGTTGTACTTTTCGCGGAGTTCCTTGCTCAAAGGAGCGCTCATGATGGTACGTCTAACGCTGGATGGCGCATCGAAGTGAGCCTTGCGGGACTTTCTCCTTGAGGAGTGGAGGGCTGTGAAATTTTCGTTAGCTTTACGATCTCATGGAATGACTGGCACAATTGAGTTGATATTTGCGCAAAATAACAATAATAACCTATTGAGAATACATACAGGTGTTGATCTTCGTCATCTTGTCGGATTGGATATTGAACCTGGATTTGTCGTCGTCGTTGGTTGTTGCAAAAAAAATCGGTTTACAAAAATTGGGAATGGAGATTTGTGGGCGAAATGCGCTAGTCGTAAGCGAGATGGCCAAATATCACGTGCCTCAAGTCAAAATTCGGGGTCAATCAACTCACTGTTCATCAATGATTGAATCCTATTTGAACACCATAAATCATTCAAATCAGAAGGTTTATTGTTATTAAAAGAACGTGCTCTATAATCGTTTGTCTCTTCTTGTTGTCTCGTGGAATTGCGATACAGAAGAAGATGGTCATCATGAGCCTAGATGAATCTCCATCTCAATCCAAATCGCAAATACTCCCAACACATCATTTCAAGAATTCATAATGAGATCTCCTATCAGAAATCTCAAGATGAAATCCAGTGATCACTTTTGATTTCCTACTGTAAATTTGAATTAGATGATTCAGATCTTCCCAAATCATGTTTGCCACAAGCTCGAAGTCAGCTTTCGGATACCAAAGAATTCATGATGGATATATCATCCCCGGAATATGATTAAGTATTCACAAACTTATGAATCACAACCACCATGAGTTACAAGTTTATTGTCCTATCTAAGTTAGCAACTACATAGTATGTTTATATGCTTGGAATCATCAATACGTCATGACGATGTTCACGCAAACAAGCAGGATAAACTCATAACTGTGATGGTTCCTTGTGTTACCACTTGGCCATATTTAAAGACATATATTTCATCCGTTCATTTCCTTCATTACAATGGCCGCATCCCTTCAAATACAACCCCAAATCACAACCCAAATCAAAATCAAACTCAAGACCAAACCCTCCACCCCAAAATGTGCACAACAACCTCCTGGCACTGGCAAACCTGCGCCCACACAATCCCCACCGAATATCTCATCCTCTGTCCCAAAGTCCTGACCCCTCTCGGCTGCACCGACGAAACCACCAACCAGATATTGAAAAAAGGAAGATGTCCCAACTGTCGGGCCGAGGATGTAGTCCCAGGCACGACAACTCATGATCAGAGCATATTGCAGAGTAAGGATATTGAAGGAGGTTGGGAAATAATAACTAATGATATGACGAACGAGATGCATGATGCATCTGCTTGAACTTTGAAGCGGGGTGTTTGGGATTCTGGCGTGGTGGCATGTGTTTTGGGAATCTTGATGTAGTGAGCGCTGTTTATGTTCAAAGACTAGGCTTTTTAGTGGGAGAGATTGAGGATATACGTTGTGGTTTGGAATAGAGTATGCCTATGAGCATCATATCAATATATATGTTGCTGTCGCCTGTCCCATGTACATCAAGTCTCTTTACTTCCATGTCATATCTACTCCCCTCAAGAGACTACGTTCAAGAGTGGTTGAGAAATAAGCCATAAATGTGTAGAGGGCAAGACAATGCGTTATTTCACCATTGATATACAGGAAACTCGATGGGTGCGTTAGGTGGGCCTTACCCCAAATGCTGTCTCACTGTATATCACGAATATCACAATATAGAGAGAACTTCCATTTGAAAGAAACACGATATCATTCTAAATATAACAAAACCAGACACAAAGGTTCATGTAATCAAAGAAATCCATGGATAAGCATTTTAACCCTTCGCCGACCCGCTTTCCGACACGACCTCGATCACCCATAACGAATACATTGTTTCCCATCCAGCAACTACAACCGCTAGTACAAAATAAGAAATAGGAAGACTAATCAAAACTATATATGGAAATAGGTGCTCACACGCCCAGCACCCTTAATCCTTTCCTGCACGGCTAAAACACCAGACAAAATTTTCTCCATTGAACATCTACCACCTCCTACGATACTTCCCCGTAGCCGCAATCTTCCTAGGCCTTAGGAGCGTGATCAATGTTGAGGCACTAGAAGAAGCAGATACTCGTGCACAAGAGGAAGTACCATCTCCATCCCCACAAGTAGCATTGCAATTCGAACCTGGCAAGACACCACTTGACTGGATATTATTACCGCATACACACTTGACTCCACTCTCAACTGCGTAATATTCGTATGCAGAACAAATAGTTGAGCAGATAGCGGGCGTCATGCCTGATGAGAACGTTGATGGTCCATCTAGAGTGCCTGTTGAGTTGGAAGAACAGCCAATATAGGCAGATGGCGCTGTGGCGCTTGCAGATGCACTAGAGGATGTGAAAGATGACGAGGGACTTGAACTGAAAATCGTACTGCTGGGAAATTCGGAACTTGATGCTGCTCCTGTACTCGAGCTGGAGGAGATCAAAGAACTAGTCTCTGATTCCAATGCCGAAAGTGATTGGCTTGTACTTGTACTAAGAGATAGATTGTTCGAACTTATTGAGCCTCCGGTAGTGGAAGTTGCAGATGATGACTCAGTGTTCAAATCTTGAGATTCGGATGCTGAAGATGTGGTCTCAAAGGCGGTACTGGAACTAGAACTTCCAGAGACTGCACTATCAATGGGAGGAAGAGCGGTTCCAGATCCACTGGCAGATGAGACTGACTCAATGGTAGAGGACTCCGATGATGATGCACTTGAAAGGACAATGCTTGAAGATATAGTTCCTTCAGAGTTTATCTGAGAAGACGAAACGGAAGCACTTGAAAGAGTTGCTCCCAAGGATTGGCCCGTCGACGACGCTGGAGCGAATACAGACTCACTAGATATTCCTGACGAAGCTGTGCTTGTTGAACTAGACTCTAGACTCGAGATTGTGGATGTTACGGAGCTCAAGGATACTGAAATTGTTTGAGGTAATGAATCTGTCTGGGAGGCTGAAGGCGAAGCCGAAAGACTTGGGAGGATCGAGCCCAATATATCAGTCGCTGATGAAGGAATGACTGATCCAGATTCAGTGGCAAAATCAGAAGCGGATGTCGAAATCACGGTCACAATAATGGTGGTCTCAAGGTTTGTGATTGTTCCACTTGCACTCAAGATTTCAGACGATAAGGTTTCAACCAAGCTGGAAGACGTAGCCGGTAGAGGTGGGTCGGATATCGTAATTGTAGAAAGGCCTCCTTGAATTGACGAGGAGATTTCTGTAGTTTGAGCGCTGGAAATCTCTTGCGATAATCCAGCTGGTTCAGTCGAAGTTCCTACCGACGAGTTGTCTTGTGTCGATGATGGGACCTCAGAAACGGTCTGACTACTCAAAGATCCAAAGCCAGTGCTAGAACTGACAGCAGAAGGTAAAGCAAGTTCAGAAGTTTGTGATCCAAGCGTCAAAATGAGTGTGTCTGAGGTCACCACAGGAGTAGAGCTGATGGCACCAAGATCCGATGTAATTTCAGACTGAGTCCCAATTATAGAGCTCGTAGACTGAGCTGGCGGACTCGATATAATCTCAGAAGCTTCAATGAGACTTGACGACAAAGGGGTACTGGTAGGGGCCGATAATATCTCACTAAGAGAGGTAAGGCTGTCGACCGAACTTGACGGGGGTACTGACAAGCCAAGGCTAGTTGTAGGAAGTGACTGAGTCTCAACCACCGAGCTCAGGGAGGAAACGAATGTCTCGATCGAATTTGTAGATTCAATCGTGCTCACGGTCGTAGTACTCACAACACCTGAAAAGTTCTCAGTTGAAGAGCCTGTTGCGCCCCCGATAATTTCAGATGTCTCGGCATTTAGAGTAGATTGAGTTCCAGTACTCAAGACAGCAATAACGGAACTTGGCTCTGCAGCCAGGCTTGTTACAATATCTGAGCCACTCAGACTTTGAGAAGTCTCAGTTGGTAAGGATGAAAATCCACTGGAGGTTGTGCCAATTTCCGTAATCGGTGAAGATAATGAAGTGCCAGACTCCAAGCTTCCAACAGTTGAAATCCCTGCTCCGGTTGATTCTATACCAGTGGTTGAAACAATAGCTGAATCGGATTCAAAAACTGAAGTGCTAGCACTCAGAGAAACTTCAATCGAAGGGGATGAAGTAGTGAGGGTTGAGGTTCCAGATTGGGATTCAATTTCTATACCAGACGTCGAGATAGCAGCACTGCTTGACCCAAATTCTGGGCTACTGGAAGTCTGAGTGGACTCGGTTGGCAGAGATGTGAACTCATTCGTCGATATCAAAACACTTGAGACAAAAGACGAAGCAGGGACCGATGATCCAACCTCAGAATTTGTTTCTATACCAGGAATTGACGTAGGAATGGTACCAGATTCAAAGGTTGAAAGACTGAGAATTGAAGGCACTTCAATTAAGGGAGACGAAGTGGTGGCTGCTAAGGAACCTGAGGCTGATGTAGTCTCGATATTTGTCACCTCAGATGATGACTCGGCTATTTTGCCCGTAGTCAATGGTAATCCTGAGCTTCCAGCTATTATACTTGTCAGTTCTGGTGATAGCGATGAACTGATAAATCCAGTACTACCAGCCGAGATATTTTCAATGGTGGAACCAGGAGGTAGCGTTGAACTGGCAGCGATCGAAGGTGTGATAACTTCATCAGTAAAGGGGGTAGATGCCGATACAGAAGCTTCGATTAACGTGGTGCTGGCAGCAATCGAGGTGGTGATAACTTCATCACTAGAAGTGGCAGAGGTTTCGAGTCCGCTAGTCAATGCCGATGTAGAAACATCGATTGATGTGGTGCTGGCAGCAATTGATGGAGTAATAACTTCATCAGTGAAGAGGGTGGAGGTTTCGAGTCCACTGTTTGATGCTGATATAGAAACATCGATTAATGTGGTACTCACAGCGATCGATGGAGTAATAACTTCATCACTAGATGCGGCGGAGGTTTCGAGTCCACCGTTTGATGCCGATATAGATGATTCGATTGGTGTGGTAACAACCGTGAAAGTTCCGGAAGAGATGACAGCAGATTGCTCGATATTAGTGGACTGAGATTGTAATGTATCCAAAGTCTCACTACCAGATACCACGCTGGTCACAGGTGAAATTTCCGTGCTAGATTCGACTAGAGTTGATGATGGCTGGAATGAAGATGTTAGAGCCGATTGGGTGTTCTCGAGTGAAGCTGATGGGATTGCCGATGTGATGAAACCACTCTCAGTAACCGATGAAATCGAGAATGATAGAGTCGCTGAAAGGGAACTAGACGAAATAGGAGAGCCGTCCGAATTATATGTACAGGTTTCAGGAGGACAGAAGCTATGATTACATGCAAAGTCGCAGAGCGGATCGTAGGTTTCAGCATCAAAGCCAGCAAGAGCATAGCCACGTCTATTGACCACAGGTGGAGGTGCGACGGCTGAGACTGCATATGCAGTACATGTACATGGGTCGGAACATTCTCCAAAATTGCAAGTAAAGGAGCATAGGTCGGAATTATCTTGAGAGCTGGAGCCTGTACCAGCGACGCAGAAACTTGATGCACTTGACGAAGGAGCGAAACTTTGGATTGATGTGGCCGTAATTTGCAAGAGAGTCGATGTTCCGGCCGACGAGAAACTTTGCAGTTCACTCATGGATAAAGACTCACTTGGGTTTGCAGGTATGGAAGATGTTACCAGCGGATCAATCGAGGTCGAAATAGCCGCGAATCCACTCGAGAAAGAGGCCTCAAGACTTGTAAGAGAAGTACTTTCTCCAATGACTAAAATAGATGAACTGATGCTGCTCACTTCAATTGGTATAGATATAACCGTGGTACTTGAAACTATCAAAGTCACAGAAGCTTCAGATTCAATGCTTGAAATCTGTGTTCCTAAGTTTGTGGAAGCGATGGATGTAAATCCAGTGCTCGATATTTCGAAGGATGTAGAAACAGCTGATGTCAGAGTCTCTTCAAGACTACTGGGGACCACAGATGATTGCAAAGTTTCACTTCCTACAACTGACAGAACTGTTGATTGAGAAGCAATGTTGCTCTCGGTCTCAGACGCTGAGAAAGATACAGGCCCATCACTCAGAGACGAGGTCGATAAGCCTAATTCGGTGCTGGATGGCCCTGGCAGACTTTCAAACGTGGAAGTTTCGAATGATCCAGTCGAGGGCTCTACAGATAAGGTTAAGCTGCCTGAAACACCTAGTTCCAAAGAACTAGTGATTAATCCTTCATTGGTTGTAGGGGCAGATGGGATTGGTGACTGGAATACGTTACTGCTAGTTCCTTGAGCTGTCGAGGATGCGATTGAACCACTTCCCTCAGATGTCGAAATTTCATTCGAAATACCACTTGTTATCTCGGAGAAAAAGCTGCTCGCTGCTGCTGACGAATCACTCAGGCTCAATACGTCAGTGAAAGATGAAGCTGTTTCTGTCTGCAATGGAGGAATATCTGTAATAATTCCAAGATCACTCGTTGATAAAGGCGGAAGAGATATCACAAGGCTAGTTTCCAATGCACTGCTTATTACCAGTGAAGTGATTAGACTAGAAGGCTCGAGAGTACCAGGGCTTGGAGCGTTCGTTGATATTTCGATCGATTGAGATTCTGATACTGGCAAAATAGTGCTACCAATTGGTTCCGATAATGTAGTAGATGGTCCTCCACTATTTAGTGATGTAGAGTCAATGTTGGATGCTTCAATTCCAGTGGAAGAAGCACTCAGTAAGGTCGAAGTGGGCTCAAAAGGACCAACATCAGTCGATGTTTCCAAGAGGCTACTTGTCTGAACAAGATTTGATGTTTCAACAGCGATGAAGGTTTGAGAAGTGCTGGATATCTGAATATCGTTCGATGTCTGAGCAGAAGTAGTTGTCTGGATGGGGCTTGACATCTCAAACGAGCTAGATATCTGACCTGAGGTCAATGTCTGAATGTCACTCGATATCTCAAAGGGGTTGGAAGTTTGGCTAGGGAAAGATGTCTCGACAGCACTCTCCGAAATCAAGCCCTCGGTACTCAAGACAGGACTCTGAGTCAAAGTTGCAAAGCCAGAGCTGGTGATGGACGATGTGTATATGCTACCACTTTGTCCATTACCATTGCTAAGAGTTAATTCGAAGCCTGTAGAACTTGCAATTTCAAAGGAGATCACCGAGTTGCTCGAAACCCCCAAAGACGGCTGTAAGGTGAAAGATTCAGATCCGATAGACTCGATTGTGGAAGAAGGTGCAATGAATAGATCCGATGTAGAAGATGCAGGTTCACTAGCGGTACCAGAAGAGAAAGATGGCTCCAAAGTGAGTGACTGTGACACGCTGATAAGCTCAATAGTGCTAGAAGGAATCAGAACCTCAGAGCTAGTCTCGCTGGTGATAGCTGGCAAGCTACTGGATACTATCAACGATGGCTCTGCACTCACTAATTCTGAGCTGGTGATGATCTCAATTGAAGTGGATATAGGAATGATATCACTCGTCGTAGAGAGTAAAGATTCACTGGTTGCCACGGGTGGAATGGTGGATTGGACCAGATTTGACTCGGAAGTAATCTGGGCGGTACTTCCCAAAGCTGATTCTGAAGTCAACGTTTCAAAAGAGCCTGTGGATGTGTATGCCAGATTTGAACTTTCTGAAATCTGTATCGATTGGACAAGCTCTGTGCTTGTTCCAGCAGCGCCAGCTGAATTGCTGAGAGCTTCAGATGAGCTAGGTTCTACAGAAGTGGCAATAAAAGTTTGGGTGGGAACAATAGATCCAAAGCTGCTTGCGATTTCGAGGCTGGTACTTTCTGCTATTTGCGTTGAGCTAACAAACTCAACATCTGTAGACGTTGTTATAGCGCCGATAGTATTGCTAGTAGACTCAAACAGGCTCGATTCGATTGACCCAGTCGTAGAGACAATGGATCCAAGACCACTTGTAATTTCAACCGTGGACTGAATATCCAAAGTACTCGTGCTACTTCCGGACACTATGGTTTCAATTGGCGGAATACCACTGCTGGTTTCAAAAGACGAGCTTAGCTCGACAGAGGCAATCGTGCTAAAGAATGTCTCTGTGGGTACAAGAGGTCCAATGATACTCGAGGTCTCAAAAGATTGACTTGATGATTCTCCCAAACCACTTGTAGCACCGAGAGTTGGTTCGATGCTTGATTCAACAATTATAGTTGTGCTGATGAAGATTCCTGTAGGTACAATCGTTCCAACGGTACTCGAGGCCTCAAAAGATTGACTTGATGATTCTACCAAATCACTTGTGGCCCCAAGAGTCGGCTCGATGCTCGATTCAAATATTCCAGTTGTACCGATGAAGATTTCTGAAGGCGTGATTGATTCAAGGCTGCTCGAAACTTCGAAGGATTGACTTGCCGATCCTACGAAAGTACTTGTAACTCCAAGTGATGTTTCCACGCTTGGAAATGCGGACTCGGACAGACTATTTGTTTGGGTGACCGATAGAAGGCCACTGGACTCTTGAAGTGTACTAGATGCTACAGTATTTGATGGGCTGGCCGATAGTGCTTGAGAGGAGAAAATATTGGTACTACTCACACCTTCAGACAATTGAATTGTAGTGCCAGTCTGCGAGGGAAAGGCACTTTCACTTTGAGAAGTGACGGATAATTGAGATGACTCCAACGAGTTAGTACTCGTAGGTAAGGCCTGTGATATGATTGACGACTCAGGGAGTTCAATCGAAGAAGATAATGGTGGGCTGCTCGAGGTACCAGTCTCAAAGTTGGAAGTGATTGCCGTTGAAGATTCAGAGCCAAAGGTTGATGGACTCTCCGTATCCAAAGATGTGATTCCTGTGGAGGTTGGCAGTATCTCGTTGGACAATTGACTAGAAATACCCAGTGCTGAAGACAAGGCAGATGATTGACCTTCAAGACCCGATGTGATTGTCCCTTGTGGTTCAGAAACAATCTCTGAGCTTGTCGAAGTAGCCACACTCTGTGAACCAGAACTTTCGACAGGGAAATTAGAAGAGCTGGGCTGGATCTCAGTCGAGGATATATAGTGGGATATGGTTTCGGCTAATTCGGAAGAAGTCGTGATTTGAGACAAAGATGATTCTTCAAAAGTAGACGAGCCACTCCGTTCCGTAAAAGTAGTTGATCCAGAAACAGTGTTTTCTACTGGCGGAATCCCACTAGAAGTTCCCTCTCCAAAACTCGAAGAGGCAGCATTTGACGTGAATGGAATGGTAGTGCTTTGAGCTTCTGAAGGTTCAAAACTCAAAAGTGAAGTGGCGGAAAACCGAGTGCTGAAACCGGAAGATTGAACAGCTGAGAAAGATGCCAAACTAGCTTCGAATGAAGAGAGGGCGGCAGGGGTTGAACTTGGGACGAAAGCAGAAGGTGTGGCAGATAAAGAAAGAGTTTCGAAAGTGAACGAAGAAATTTGGGATTCTTGTTCAGTGGAAGTCGGGAGGGTTTGAGATAGAACGCTTGACTCGAAGCCGGCTGTTGTCGAGGTAGAAGGTCCCTCGGAAGAAGAGAATGTTTGATCAAAGAAAGAAGATGATACAAAAGAAGACGAACTGGGCACCGCGGACGGCGTGTTCGTAAAGACGGGCGAGCTGGTAGTAGGTAATCCGCTAGAAAATTCAACTGATGAAGTAGAAGCAATGACTTCAGTCGAAAATTCGGAGGGACTTTCCAGACTCGCCGAACTTAGACTAAAAAAGACGAGGTCGAAGTGGTCGAAGTGATAGTGGCAGTCGGATCAAATGGCAACATCAATAATGATACTGTCACACAGCCTGCTCCAGGTGTCAACATCAAATAAATCGATCCACGACAAGCTTGTATGATATTGGCAGCATTGTATGGTAAGGTCAAACCGATAGAACAATCTGGATTGATAGTTGCAACAACAGGTTGGTAACCAAGTTGTTGATATTTCGCTGCTGTAGAGAAGAAAATTTGCTCATTTCCAGCATTGTGCGTATCTTGATTAGATGCTAACACGACAGGGTTTCCGAAGAAATTTACAATATTGAATTGAAGTTGACCAGTAGTGGGTGACAATGAGAAGGTCAAACTTTTTGATGCATCAACGGTGAATGATAAAGCGTCATCATCGAATGAGACAGGATCCCATAAATATTGTGGAGGCATGCCTGTCTCATTTACAAGGATTCTGAAATATGGTGCAACAGGACATCCAGCGATTGATGTTGCAGATGTAATTGGCGAGAAAGTCGAAGAAGTTGTCTCTAAACCAACTGTTCCAGATGGTACAGTTGTTTCCATGAATCCACTCGAAAATGAACCAGTTGGAAGTACTTCAATAGTCGAAGAGCTAGCTGTTAACGATGTTGATGAAGGTCCAAGATATGCAACAGCATAAGCCCTAACTTGTACACATGAATCTCCCTTTTGGATCTGTTTAGCTGGTGTCAAGATAGTAAGAACGCCACTACATTGAGCCAGAATATTGTTTCCGGTGTTTGTAATATCCAAGCCAAGTGAACAATCCGAACCAACAGTGGTAGTGAAGACCCTCATGTTATCTGCAATATGATCCGCAGTAAAGAGTTGAAGAGGAGATCCTAAAGCAGTCAATCGAACAGCACCAATGATTGGTGCACCATTAGATTGAAGTGTGCTTTGGAAAGTGTTGCCTGCTCCAACACGGAAACGAGCTGCTTGTGATTCCGATGTTACCACTGGTAACGTGTCATATCCCCAGGTATTCTCCACAAGTCCAGTATCTGGATAGTTAAGCTGAGATAACCATTGTTTTGGCTTTCCAGGTTCATCAATAACTACGTTGAACAGATTTGGAACACCTGAGCAAACATAATTATAAGGACCAACGCTGGATGTGGATGCTGGAGGGGAGCTTGTAGAGGATGTTGGTACAAAGGTTGATGTTACACCAATGGAAGTAATGGTTTCTCCAACACCTCCGCTCTCAGAAGTAGATGTTGAAAAGCCAGGAGTTACTTCAATCTCAGTGCTAGATGCTAGAACGATGGTACTAGTCTCTCCGACTTCTCCGCCCTCGGAAGTAGATTCGGGTGCTTCAGTGGTTGTGGTGCTACCAGATACTATACCGCTGACAGGTGGAACACCAGTGCTAGTCCCCTCAGCCGACTCTGAAGTGGTGGTAGAGGGAGCGCCTGGTCCTTCAGTGACGATGACTTCGGTTGAACTAGCCCCTGGGGTCTCGATGGGAATGACTTCTGTAGAACTAATCCCGGGGGTTTCGATAGGAATACCTTCAGTAGTAGAGCTAACTCCTGGGGTCTCGATAGGAATAACTTCTGTAGAGCTAGCACCTGGTGTCTCAATGGGAATGACTTCAGTAGTAGAGCTAACTCCTGGAGTCTCAATAGGAATGACTTCAGTTGCAGAAGTAGCTCCTGGGCCTTCGGTGACAATGATTTCTGTTGAACGAATTCCGGGGGTTTCGATGGGAATAACTTCAGTTGCAGAAGTAACACCTGGTCCCTCAGTGACGATGATATCCGTCGAAGAAACGCCTGGCGTTTCAGTTGGAAGGATTTCAGTAACGGCGGATGAGGTTGGGGGGACATATCCAGCTAATTCATAGATAATAATCGCGACGGGAGGCGCACGGCGTCTGAGTCTTCTGGTAGAGGAAGAACCTCCTCCGCATATTTGTGTCGAATCACCTGGACATTCGTAAAAGCAATCGGTAATTGGTTCTGCGGAAAGCAAGCCGTTCGAGCAGTAACAGTGTCCTGGGCCGATTCCGGCATATCTGAACGGGCCGCCCACATTGGCTGTAGAACAGAATCTAGCACAGTTGCTGGGTGTATCGTAATTCTTTGGATCGACATTGTCGGTGACAGGTGGAGCTAATGGGTAGCCAGTACCCTCATTGTCCGAGTAACAATCCACTGCGTTGTAAGTACCAGCGGGAGTATCGGCAGATGAAACACGAGTTGGTCCAGCAGGTGGCTGAGTGGTAACTGGTTCTCCTGGCTCAGAAGAAAGCTCACCTCCTCCATTAGTCGTAGTAGGTGGCTCGGGGGTGATCTGTGGAGCAGAAGTGGTGGGTTCAACACCTGGATCTAGCGTAGACGAAACCACACCACTCACTGGTGGAACCGTGAATCCGGAAGAGGAAGCAAATTCAGAAGATGTAGTGCTTGAGCTGCTTAAAACATCCGATGAAACGGATGCAGAAGAAGATAATGTGCTAGAGCATTCGGACGCTATTCATTATTAGAAGGGATCCAATGCTCAATCAAACTTCTTGGAATTTACTGACCATATACAGTCGAAGCTTCCGGGAATATAGTCGTAGTCCCATCTATCACAGTGGTAGTGCTTTGTTTAAATGCTGTTGCAGTGACATATTCAGTATGGATTACAGGTGGTGCGGTATAAGTAATAATCGAAAAAGTGGTATCAGTATAAGTCGTGTATTGTGGAACGACCGATATTCTGTAACGAGTGACGGTTGTAAGAACAGTTGCATCTGGTGCTGCGTGAACGAAAGTAACGAGTGCAATACCACAAGCTGCTACCTGCAGCAGGCACTTTGGAAGTGAAGTTGGACGCATGGTCCTGACGTAGTGTCTATGTGAACTCGAGTAAGTGATATTTGAGGCTTCGAAATGTCTGAAAATCACAAATACTTGAGTCCTGTGTAAAGGCCGACGTGAAGGTGTGTAAAAAGATACTTTCAAGGGACTGAAGAATATATAGAATGTGAACTTGTTTTTGAATGTGTTGCTGGGAAGAATGTGGATGGCGTCTTTCCCGCGTCAAGACAATGTTAAATTCAGAGACATGTTAATAGGAGGTATTCAGGACAAGCATAGTCGAGGAATGAGTGACATTCATCGTAGCCCGGCAAGATTCCCATATTGGAATGTGATATCGAATGACAGCATCCTTGAAGTTTAGAGCAACTTGACTTCAGACACGTACACTTCCACCTAAAGTCACTCGACTTCACAATATTCTCTCATCGACGGACCGAATAGCCACGTTGAATCGAACTCAGCAACGATTTCGCAGAATTCTAATAACATTAGCACGAGTACCGCAGTGAATTACAAGTCTGTAGACTACACCTGAACTATTTTAACTAATTCACGTGATAACAATTCTTGTTTACCGCCAAGGAATCTTTGAAATGGATGTACATTCTCTATCAAGTTCAAGGTTGTGGCGCTGATAGGGCGAAGGGAGTGCTCCACATGTTTCGAATGACACAAGTGAAGAAGACTTTGTGTGAAATGGCAAAACATGCCAAATGATGGATGGGAGAGTCTAGCCCAATTTCTCGAGCGAAAGAGTACTCTTTGACCAACATAGGGACCAGATATCCATATCAAAAATATTGACAGAATCATCGGTGTGCTCAAAGAAAATGTTGAGAAGATGATAGGAAAATGAGAGAAGAAAGACAGCTACCCTACCTAGATATGCACCATACACGTACAATACAGTCAATACCTTCCCAACTCCCGGTAAGCGTGCAATCAAAAAGGAGACGATAATCAAAGCATTCATTGAATACCACACATGTATCGTCCCCCCTTCCCTCCCCCAAAAATCATCACCATCACCATCTCCCTGTAATCTCCTCAGTTCTTCCTTCACCAAACCAACCATCGAAAAATGTTCCCTCCCGCTGCGCCTCTGACATCAATTCTAGACCTTCCATTAAAGGCCATGCATCCTGCGTTCCGTAAAAAGGCGGATGCTGGTTTTATTATATTAGTGGCATTCACGGCATACCGGTAGGTAGTTGAGAAGCAAGGGAGTCTGACCCTTTCCAGGAATTTTCGGTGCGTTTGAACGTTTAATAGACAGATCCACCATTCACGCGTCTTCACCTATAGCAGCCAAAGAATGAGGGCCCTCACTCGTGCACTCCCATACTTCGAATACATACTTTCAATATTCTATCCTCCCCATCTAAAATAAATGTCCCCTCCAGAATTCTTCACGCATATTCGACAACCGTATCTTATCACGTGACAGCACGAGGTGCTCAGTCCTCATTAAACACAAGACCACCTAAAATGCTTGAGACTGTAGCGGCGTCAACGAGCGCATATATAATAATATAGCTTCTCAATTTATATATTATAATTTTCTCAATATAACAAATACTGCTAATATGCATGCACCCTATCTCCCTTCATAACCACAACATCCCCCTTCCCCCCCTCCTTCCCCAACCCACCACTCCCCGCCCCACTATCCCCTACACTCATTCCGCCGGTACCATTCGTTACCGGAACAATCTTCTAATTATCGACCCCTTGAACCGCCACCATCGCACTCTTATACCCCCAACGCACTCATCTGTTGACCTATGCCCGTATTTCCATCATAGGTATTCTGGGTCCATCTAAAGCCACACGCGTGATCGGGACCCGAACATTGGGTGCCGGCGGCTACGGAGCTAGTTTGCAGGAGGGGAAAGAGCGTTTTGGAGGTGAAGGGGGCGATGGAGATGGAGGCTAGCCAGGCGGTGAAGTAGGCTTTGAAGGATAGTTGGTCGGTGTCGCAGGTATTTGCCGTCTCGCACGGCTTGTTCGGTGATGATGGAGTTGCTTTTGTTGGAGGCGAAGATGTTGATGGAGGTGTTCATGAGTTGAGCGGTGCGTTGTTGCCAAGTGGAGTTACCGTCGGTCTGGCCAAGAGTTTTTGGTTAATTTACAAAACTTTCTTCCATTTTGTGCATTTGGTCCAAAAGAGGTGGGAGAAGGAACAAAAAGGGGAAGAAAATAAACGAGAAATTGGAGAGAAATAGGGGGAACCTCACATAATTATACATATTCGCTGCCCTATGGAAGTAAATCCCCGCATTATAACTTCACTGCAATCGATCCACACTCGAACAATTATCCGTATCACTGCTCCCATCATAAATATTATACCTACTATCAATCAACCCACCCCACACTCTGTTCCAACTGCCAAATCGTCTCCGCCCAATCCGCATACGTTTGATTCCCCGTATACCTCGCCAATCTAGCTCCTAGAGTAAAAAAGCCATCCATTCGCAATCGAATGCTTATACATAAAACCAGAATTGAACGTGAAAAATTTGCCATCTTAAACCGCGTCCACAAGTACTGGTATCCCATCGACTAGCCATTTCGTTAAAGACGGCTTGGGCTAATACAAGCCATTGTAACTGATCGGCAGGAGGATTTTGAAAATTCGATTCTGCAGCTAACATAGCAACCATTCCCCAAAATCCTTGATCGTCATTTCCATCAGCTTTGGTTTGGTTTTGGGGCATGTAGTCAGCATTTGGACTGGCTTGGAAGAGAAGAGTGGCGAAGACGATGCTGTTGTATGAGGTATCGCCCGTGTAATTAGCGCTAATAGTCTATCAATGTCATGAACATCCCACCACCTTCCCACTAAAAGCAAGGGGGAGGTAAAAGTCCTGGGACCTAGCCCTGTAAGATATTAGAGGATAATTTGTATCGAAGGATATAACATCGAATGTACATACAGATTCATTGCCATGATAATATGATACCAAATTTGCAGCCACTGAACTTGCAGCACTTTTTATCGAATTTAATGATATTGATTAGAACCATCTTCCTAAATATATATTAACAAATAATCCAAATCTAAACATACTAGCCTGTGAAGTATCTACCGTAAGAGCACTCGCACCACTCAAGCCAAGCAACGGCCATAACAAGCTTTGAATCCTCATTATGAAATTAAGATCTCCTTGAGAAAAGGAAATCGGATGATGAAAACAACGCGGGGGAAGAATTAAAACCAAGAAGTGTAAAGAGCCTTGGAAAAGGCTTGTATGAACAAGGTGGCGCAGATCTAAAGAAAGATCGTAAAGATGACAACCAACCGGCAGGTAATGCAATGCAATGCAAATACAGTATATAATGATCTCGTAGCCCTATCAAAGGTGCTTTGGAACCACTCGTACAATCATGTCATATCGTATTCAAATTAAGTACCCGGAGTCAAATATAATATACCGCTGGGTAAGCTCAAATGATCATCTAGATCTAGATCCTCCTATTGAAAATGAAACGAAATGGGATAAATAGAAATATTCATTAAAGACTGTGTACAAGTTATGAATATCAAATTCATGAAGAACAGAAAAGATTTAGAAAAGGAAAAAAAAAGTATACAAAAACATTAAGTGAAATAAAAAAGTCCAACAAATTGCCCAAGTTCCTCCATCTATCTACCTGATCATACTGTATCATAATCTTATTGCTAATAAATGAACAAATCCACTTGGAATTGCCCACACCTATACTCATACTCACTCACCCACCAAACCCCCCATCCATTTCTCCATTTCCCCATTTCACTATCCCCATTTCTTATCCCCATTTCTCCCTCCCTTAAACACCGATATCAAAGCACACTCCCACGTTCCCACAACCTCAAAACCCATAAAACTCCCCAACTCCCCCAGTATCCAAATATCACCAGATCAAGAGTCAACAGTCAAGACCTAATCCACACTCTCACACTCTCACACTCTCACATTCCGAACCAACCCTGCCTGGTAGTCTGTGGTTCATTCTTGCTCTTTGCTCTTTGTTATTTGCTCTTTACTCTTTACTATTTGCTTTACCACCCACAAATCCACAGGGAAATTTTCCATCTCTTTTACTCGAGTAGTTGAGCGCCAGACTGCTAGTACCGGTACAGTAGCTTCTTTTGGATGGTCTGTGCATTGACTCAAATAGTAACAATTTTTGAGTAATCTAATATCAAAAAAAAACCTACTCGAGTTGTATAAACTATTCATCCACCTACCTAGGTATTCATCCACTTATCCACCCATCCATCCATCTATCCATCCATCCATGTTCAATCACAATCACAATCCCAATTAAATTCTTCTTCTAGATTAATTATCTTGTCTTATATTGTCTTATCTTATCTTGTCTTGCTACTACCTAGTTACTAAGGGGTCGAGTTCTTTGCAAATCCGAAGGTTTATCCATGGCTATCCATCCATGTTTATCTTCTCATCTCTTCTCATCTCATCTCTCACCCTATCCCATTTCATCTCAATCCCATCCCATCCCATCCTATCCACCCTTCACTACACATCTCCCATTTACCGGGTGAAAAAAAAGTTAAAGTATCCACAAGAAAGTTTGTTATTAAGAAAAAACTACTACCTTCCTCTTCAAAGGCTCTTTCTTCAAAGGAATGAATAAATAGCTCAAAAAACGCCATTATGTAATATCTCCCCCTCCACTCTCCATCCATCCCAATCTCCATATCTACCATACTCTCAAAACAAACCCATCTGCAATGCAAAAACAACAGCTGTAATGAATATTTAAGCTACCGGTATTGTACTGTGTGTGAACGAGTCCCTAACCCAATGCCAATGCCAAGCTAATAATTCCTCCAAAAATGCAAATGCCCAAAACCAACCTCCAGAATCCGCGAAAAACAAACTCGAAAAGAAAAGTATAATTTACAAAGCCATCATGGCAACGACCGCCACAACACCTGCAAATATGCTACCTTTCAAAACTCGTTCTTGATTGGCAACGAGGCTGTCTGCACTGCTGCTAGTGGTACCGGATGATGAAGAAGAGGAAGAGGAAGAGCCACCTCCTTGAGAAAACCCACCACTGTCAGTCGAACTAGAAGTACTGGATGATTCTGTAGCCGTTCCTGAGCTGCCGCTACCACCGTCAGAGTGTGTATCTCCAACTCCTCCACCATTAGAACCTGTGAGTCCAGGAACGGTTCCGGCAGTGGAACCAGCAGTGGAACCAGAAGTTGCTGCGGATTCTCCGGCGGTCATGTTTGTTCCAGTACCCAGGAGGGACGAGAGAATAGTAGCATTGTTTGAATCAACCACAGTGTTGTTGGTTCCCAAAGCATTGGTATAGTAGTATGACTTTCCAGAGTTGGTTCCTGGAGCCGATTTTGCATTGTAGCATGAGACATCGACCGACTCAAATGAGGCATAATAGTAACCGTTGTTCTTGATATCCTCGGAATCCCAATCGATTACACCACCTGCCCAAGAGATTGTTCCAGCACCATTGGTGGCGAGACCACCAGGCCAGAGAGAAAGTTGGACTCGGGCAGGAGTTTGTGGAAAGTTCCATTGGTTTGCGGTTGCATTCCAAGTATCCGCGCGCTTCTTTGTACGTCCAACCTGTCCATCGATAAGCCAAGTGATCTCATCAGGGGTCCAATCGATTTCGTAAGTGTGATAGTTGGCATATGTATCGGAAAGCTTGATGTCTAGCTCATTATCATCTAGTAACTGGTTAGTACAACTCTTTTGTGCTCATGGGAGGTTTACTCACAATTGGTGATACCCTGGAAGTAGTAATTCGATTGAGCAGTAGCCAGATCCGAACCCACGAATTCGAAATCGATTTCATCCTTCACATCCGAGAAAAGAATAAAGGCCGTTATTACACCTTGTCCTCTACTAGTCTTAAACTTTGCCTTGACATTGCCATACCACATATAAGTCGAAGATGCCATAACCGTTCCGACCGAATCAGCCGACATGGTCAACAAAACATTATCATTGTAGATAACTGGACTTCCGCTGTAAACCCAATTCGATTTTGAAGCATCCCCCAAGTATTTTGTATTTGACGTTATGCCGTCCAAGTTCTTGAAGGTATATGAGGCACTTTCGCAGACCGGTTCGGGGACGCAGGATGCGACCGAAAATGACATTCGAGGATCACAACCTCCGAGACAATAGGCACCTGTACCGCATTCTCCATATTCTGCAATTCGTCAGTCTATGCCTTCGTACTTGTGTGCTGACAAGATTTCACTCACGAGAGCAACATGGTGCATCTTCAGGACAATGACTATCAAGACTACAAGCAGCGAACGCCACCGAGGCTGAAGCCAAGAAGGCCAACAATGTGGATGTTCCAACCATTTTGGTGTAGGTATGCAGATGAACTAAAAGAGAAAACCACCAAAGATTGATACCGAAGCGATTGGCGATATCGAGGGACTTGAAGGTGGTACGATGGATTGGAAAGTATAAATAAGATTAACGGATAATTGCAGATGGATGTCTCCGTCTCGAGTGAATAAGTAATGCGATACAATAGAATATTGTAATAATTCCCCGCCAAATTCGAAGATCCCTATTTCTTTGCTTGTCGTGAAGTTGAGATACCGATACTGTATGATGCGTGTATATTTATTTACTTCTTCCTTCTGACAGTTCCTTCCCTACCATTCCGAATCTGAAAAAGATTATTAAATTGCTTGGTTGCTTGGTTGCTTGGTTGCTTGCTTGGCGATATAGTATAAATAACGGAAGGAATAATCGATTCACAAGTTCAACGAGTGTGTTTTGACAAGATGATGATAAGATCCTACGACGAATAACGAGTGATGTCGTGAATAATGAACTTTGTCTGAATTGAATTATTCTTGAATAATATTATCAAAAGTTGGAGAAAGAAGTGAGATAAGGAGGGAGAAATATAACATTTAATGGAGAAGCCTAGTACCGTACCTAAGAAAAGAACTATTCATCCATGTAATACCCTACTTACTCCGCGGTCTTACCCATGATGTTTAGCACAGCTGCACCGAATTTCATCGGATTTTGAGAACATATTAACGTGTTTAGTATTAGTTTAAGAGTGCTTGATGGATTCCCACCTTTCAAAGAGAGGGTCTACTCCGTAGTCTAGTCGGGATAGTATGTGATATAGGCGATGCGGGATCGAATTTAGGGGATGATGAACGGATTTAGAATATGCTAAGAATGATTGATTGGTTAAAATCTTATCAACTAACGGTTTTCATAATGATTTTGCTTGGTGTTATGACCACCAAAGTGTGGAGAGTTTTCTGTTTCTATCGTGATTAATCATAATCATCTAAATCATCCGAATCCATCTAATTCATCCATCAACCAATAAAAGTGAGTTGTAGTGTTAGCAAAATATGGAGAAACCTCGTACTCATGCCAAGGTTGAAGATATGTTGCATTGGCGAGAGGCAAAAGGGTGTTAATGTTACTATAAGATATAAGACAAGGTGACTGATGACTCTCTTTCGAATCACTTTTTGGGCACAGAGGGGGAATACGAAGAATTATTAGTGATAAGGTTGATGGATCTATGTGAGTAACCAACTAACTAACTTTAGGCTAGTCAGGCTAAGTCTCGAACTTCGGGTAATTGGTATTATTTTGGTATATGATACAGAGATCAGGTACAGTAACCTTACCGGTACAGCAAACAAATTACCGGTACAGATTCCCTAATAATGAAAATTAAAGATCATCCCATCCCCAAGCTCTATTCCGCTCCACACAAAATCCGGGGATAAGTAAAACTATCCTCTCCTTTACTAAACTTGACTTAATTTATCTTAGCGCGTTTAGCGTTTAACTTACACACATTTAACATTTAACATTTAACATTTAACGTTGGATAAGTCGGCTCTCTATCTAAGATCGGCCATCAAACCTCTGAATATCTCTACAAGAGATATCGATGTCTTCGAATATCTGAGTAACACATAAGATAAGATATAAGAGATATCTCATACTTTTAAGTCTTCAAGATGCTACCTATACCATGCCAAACCAAGTGCATATATAAACCTAGATAGATATTATATAATGCTATTCGAAGTAGTATTTCGAAAAACATATAAGATCAGATTACGTGGAACTAGAAAGGAACCATTCCTGATTCCCGAACCCGATATTTGATAACTCTTTATTGGGATATTAGATATTTTACTCATACTGAGTATGAAATGATATACTCGAGTACTAGTAGACTGATATGAAGATATAGCAATTTACTCTTACACTATCAAAAGTGAATTTAGTTATATCACTCTTATACTATAAAAATGATATCTATCTTATTTTCATATCACTTAGATTCTATAATAGAATCTATTACAGATCTTAATAAACACTATAGTAGAAAGGCAGAATCTATAGTGGGGGAATGGAATCTATAAGTGAGTAGAATCTATAGTAGAGGAATAGAATCTATAACGAAAGAGTAGATATAGTAGAAGAATAGAATATATAGTAAAAGAGTAAGTAGATGAGTAAAATCTAAGTTATCTAAGATTAGATTCTAAGTAGTATAAGAGTAAAATGAACATAATTTTTGTAATATAATTCAATTTTGATAGTATAAGAGTAATTTGCTACTAATAAAATTATAGAAATGATCTTTGTAATACTTACTACTCTTCTTTCCGGTTACCTTTATTAATTTCGTATGATTATCTATCAAATGTTAACCATATGATGTTAAGGTTACAGCACGCTCGTTTTTTAAAGAGTGCCAGAATGATTTCAACACTCGTCGGCCGCTCTGGTCAGATATACAAGCCAGTTCGAGTTATCTACCAACCTCCAAACAAAATGCCAGAGTTCAACATCTATCTAGCCTCTGGATGAGTTCCGAAATCCAAACATGCCGTGCTTCTCGTTCGTCGCAACAATGACCCACCCACTGTACCAGGCTAATCTGAGCCATGGCTCTAGAAATGATAACATAGCATTCGTTTTAAAGCCTGTGAGTCGCTCGATTTTTGAGCAATCACAGGAGCTCAAACAGAAATTCGGCAACGTTCGTCAAATACGACATCATGTAGATGAAGACGAGGGGAACCATGTACTGATCTACGATTATGCCATATCCAACGTACTTGAAATGATACACGACTGTCCTCCTCTTCCTCTACAAGCAAGAAAGACAATCCTTAAAGAGGTTGGCCTGGCATTGAAAGAGATGCACGCGAGAAATTGGATACACCTTGGTAGGTTATTTTTATCTTTATCTATTCATGATTTTTGCCTCAAGCTCTTTATTCTTTACTGATCTCACTGCCTGCTGTTGCTCTAGATGTGAAGCCTGACAACGTCTTCATCGATTGGCTTGTCAACAAGGAAATGAAATTCTGCCTCGGAAATGTGCAATTGGGCGATTTAGATTGTGCTTTGAAACTCATCGGCACGAATCTTCTAAACCACAAGATAGGAAACGTGATGTGGCAGAGTTCAGAAGGACAACTGGGGAGGGGAATGGGCAAGCATTCGGAGGTATTTTCTTTCAGGCTTCTGGTGAGTCAAACCTTCAATCATTACAGAAGAACCCCCCCCCCCCCCCCCATTCTCTAACAATATGTTTGATTACTTTCAGTGTCTTTTTGTGCTCACAGGCGTTGAATCGTTTCACCCCGACTTCAAAAATATATCTACAGAACCGGAGCGGGTGATCTTGCACAAATTGCTGTCGAATTTTGGGCCGCTTCCAGATGCGCTTGTAAAGCATGTTAATGTTGATGATGAGAAAGAAGGCGAGATCTTGAAGGATATTTCGAAGAGGATGAGGAGCGAGCTCAAGGGTATGGACCTTTTGAGCAATGGACCGAGACTGATTATCCCAATCTCAATGAGGATGCGAAGAGATTGATACTGAGAATGACGAATCTGGACCCTGGAAAGAGGGCGGAGATGGCTGATATCATGGCGGATCCTTATTGGGATGGGGTTGGTTCTGAGGGTACTTTTGAGACTGAAGAATGTTTTAAAGATGGTGCAAAGTTAGTAGTTTAAATTATTTGATTTACGATAATGAATGAAATGACTATTCTATAGCGAGGATTTGCAACCTGAGATATTATTACTTGATATAATCAAAAGTACTTCTTAAAGGCTATGTAATCTTACCATTTGACGACAAAATTTGTATGCTACCGGGCCCTGCAATTGGTAGTATTGTATCTTTTTCGAACAGAGAAAGTAGTACCAGCAATAAATATGTCGAGAACAAACGGATATAGACATATAGACTTAACTATATACTCGTATACTTAACCATACACACCGAATGAACAACTCTACTCGTACTCAACAAGAGTAGCATACATCCCATTTTTGCAAAACCCTAATATTCCTTCCTTCCTTCCTTCCTTCGAGACTCCAGATAGCACAGGCAACGAAAAATTCGAGCTGATTTATATGATTGATTGGTAGAAGTTATTGAAACATTACTGTAACTCATAATATACTAGTATCGAAGATATTCCAAAAAAAGAAAGAGAAGATTGAAAAAAAAAGCAAATAGAGAGAGAATACTCGAGTACAAGTAGATAAGTAGGACTAATTATTCATTACTTTATTCACTTTCTTGGATAGACTACCTTGTATCTATGAAATGGTCTCGAGGGCTCAAAAGTCAACCACCCCTATTCAACGAGGGCTTTTTAAATGCGCTAGGTCCCGCCTTTAAGGGGTTACTCGCTTTTCCGGGCTTGGGAGATCTCTCAGAGCTCTTTTCTCCTTTGATACGTATCTGTATCTACTCAGTTAGGGCTTCAGGATCTATGAAATAATCATATAAGAATTTATAGCACCCAACCCTATCTATTCATGCACCTTCTCATATCTTCTCCTTCCCCTCCGCTCTAATAATACTTCAAGCTTAAGAATCAAATGTTATCTACTCGAGTACTGTACCAAAACCTCATTAAAATTATCTTGCATTTATGTATATCTAAATACATACCTAAATATATAAACACTCGTATATATATACCTAGAATATTTCAACCCATCTCATCTCATCTCCAATCTATACAAGTAAGATTTATATATAGTGAATATAAATCATAAATCATTATACAATACTCTACTTTACTTGTATAAAACAGAAAAATGCTTGATTTGTTTTCCTTGAAACCAATAACCCCCCGGCCATGAAATTGTTTCACCTAATATCCCGAATATAACAGACAGAGTTCATAAATGAAACCACCAAAAGAAAGTTGAAACAAAACAAAATGAAACCACCAAAAGAAAATTGAAATGAAATGAAACAAAACAAAACAAAACAAACTATAAAATTATCTGGATAGATGAGATAATAGATAGATGGATAGATGAATAGATAGATAGATGGATATGAAGTGAGTTCAGACATGTCTATGTTTATGTTTTGCAAATAAATATTTGGGGTTTTATTGCTATCAAAACTATTCGAGTACACACAGTAGCTAGGTACTGTATAAATAAATACCTACCCTACTGGAAAGCATTGATATGAATCATATGATATACAGACAAAATTTGAATGACCCCCATTTCCTTCATCGTGCAAATCCCCCCTTTATCACCAAAGGTCCCAAATACCCTCCAAAAAATCAAATTTGATTACTCACTTGTCCGTCCATCATCAAATTCTTCTAGCCATGCTTATAAATAAGATTATCATTTCCCATTTCCCGTGCCATGTAATGTACCCCCTAACGAATTAAATCGTAAAATAGATAAAAGTTAAGAAAAAGAAAAATCGAAAATCGAAAAGACCATCCATTCATTCATTTAAATTTAACACATCTCCCTTCTTTCCTCCAATCTCTTAATCATTTCTCTCTCCTTTGGGCTGCGAGGACTAGCATCAATACCCAACAGAGCCGAAATACTCGTCGTATTATTCTTAGCTTCCTGAACTAGCGTTGGCAGACGTTGCGGGGCGTGAGTATGAGTATGAGTATTGTAGTGATAGCTCGCTCGGTTAAGATTAGGCATATGTGTATCAGGCGATACACAAGGGGTAGGAGGTCCATTGGAATTGGAATTGGGAGCCACGCCTTGTTTCCAAGATTCCTCGAGTAAGAGGGAGGAGACACCGCCGCCATACTCGGATGCAATGACGTTCCAGAAGGAGGTACGGTGAGCTTCGTAGATGCGACGGAGTCGCTCTTTGTCTACGCTGGGGACGGTGATGGGGGTCGAGGTTACGATGCAATTGAGGCGGAGGGATTGGTTGGTGGTGGATTCGGGGATGTTGCGTCGAGAAGGGGTGGGTTTGGGGAGAATTGCGATGGGGTGGCAGAGGGTTCGGGCAGGGCTGTTGGAGGCTGAGCGGGAGAGGAGGGAAGATGCGGATGGGAGTTGCACGTGCTGAGGTGATTGGGGTGAGTAATTGTAGGTAGGTGGTGTTGCGGGGAGAAAAGTAGACTCGTTGATTGGCGATGGCATGCGAAGAGGAAGGCTGGAAAATTCAGACGTGGAGCTTCCGGAAGAAGTCATCGAGTTGGTGCGCTTGCGACGGTTGCTTCCGTGGGATAATTGATGGTAGTGGAGACGGCAAGCCAATTCCGTCTTTTTCAGATGAGCAGCAATGTGCTTATAAGGCATTTTCTGAAGACGGGTTTGAAGAAGATAAACTTCCTATAGAGATATTGATTAGTAAGTTTCCTTGTGGCATGCCGTTGTTTCATTCATACCTCATCCTCGCTCCATGCTCTGCCACCGCCAGTAGAAGCCGCTTTGCGATTCTTCTGGATGCCATATTCATGTCGTTGGGCTACGTCGACTGAAACGTATGTGGATGGTGCCACTTGGGTGTTCATTTGGTTCGAAGACATGATGAGAGTTGCTGATTGGTGTGAAATTGAAAGAATTGTGCTGGAAAGTTCAGATTATACTGCTTAAAAAGATGGTTGAACCGGCAATCGAAGAATCGAAGATGTTATGTTGTAAAATATTGTTGTAGAAAGTATTCTTTGTCAAAAAGTCGAGATAATAAAAAGACTTGTATCGTAAAGCTCTGGAGCAAAAGTAAAACAAGATATAACTACAAATAAAGAGTGTAAGGCAGCCAAACCAGTTGGTAAAGAAAGGAAAGTAAATATTAGCTGCGAAATAAGTAGTCACGTCAAGTGTAAGGAAATAAAAAGAAAAAACATACGAGCAGAAAGCTGTATATATATGAAGAACCGACTTGGGTCATTCGAAATATCCACAAGGCCATGTTCGGCGGGTCTCTGATGTTCAAAACTTTTGACATGGAATGATGAGAATTCGACGTTCATCAGAGTTTCTGATTATACATGGGTAGAGTTGCATATCTCCATGAGTTTTCGTCCCGTTTCTGCATCATAATGGTGTTTCTTAGGTACGGGGATTATTGATGTAAATCTCTGTTTGACGTTTGAGGCGGGGTCTCAAGTATTATAATCACGATAACATTCAAAACTTGCCCCAAGATCGCACCGAAAACTTTGCCAAGGTAATCATTTGAATGTTGAATGTTCAATGTTCAATGTTCAAATCTTCAAAGACGCTGCACGCATGTCTCCTGAATGATTGAACTTCCATATCATCCATGCGACGACTTCGTAACAAGATTTTTCTTTCATAGCTGACATGAAAATGGCAATGTAAATTGCAAGGTCACAATAAAGTTGTCCACCACCAAGTACGAACTACAGTATTGAAATTTGATGATTTTTGCAATGTTACAATAACCTGGAGATGTCAAGGGGGAAGCGAGTTTCGAAGAGTTTCGTGCTGGGATTTGGTGACCCTCATTTGACCCCTAGAGCCACCCAAACCAAGGCGTCTCTTAAGTCTTATCTCCCTTACCCTTCCTAGTAAAAAGCTTCGAATGCATGAAGAATTGAAGAGATCGGACGTAAAGAAGACCAAAGTTGGAATAATCGCCGCGCGCCTCTCTGAATCTCTGGTCATGCTTGATGTTTAGGTGTTTGGACCATTTAGACCGTTTGGAGTGGCTCATTAGTACGACCCATTTACCTTGGTACCTGGGATACAAGAAAAGGTAAAAGATGCAAAAGAACGATTGACAGGTTAAGAATAGAAACAAACTTGTTTGAAATGGAATAGCTTCGTTATATCTCTTCTCCATTGTCGCACCGCACAGTCACAACATTATCTATACTTAGGTTTGTTACTAAAGGAAAACGTTGTGTTGACGCAAAGCTATGATACTCGCAGGAAATACTACAAAACGTTATCTCTCTTTCTCTTCGTCATTCTCTCTCTCCTCTCATCGTCATTGTCTCTTTCTCTTCTTGTTCTAGACTGAATTGAGCAAGAATGCTTATTAGTCGGAAAGTTGGTAGTGGGTAACTACCTACTCTAGATAGATACTCGGGTGTACACTGATACGAGTGGAGAGTCAGTCACCTTACAATTGAAGTCTGAAATTAATGAAGTATTCTTGCATGAGATGTTTCGAGGTATTTTGAGATAATAAAGCTATTGAAGCTATTCGTCGTTCGTCGTTCGTCGTTCGTCGTTCGTCTCAAATCATGTAAGATACTCGATTCTGCAGATTGAAGCAATAGAAGTGTTGAAAAGAGATTAGCAAGTTATCCGGAAGGGTGAGCGTCCGATATATTTGGTGAAGTGTGAGGTGTCAGTATTGACAACAGCCCTACAATAATCATCCATATTGGTAATGTTGGAATGGACAATATCATTAAGGAAGTTTGGATTCAAAATTGATAAGCCCCATGTACGTCCGTCCCACTCACCTCCCCCTGAGCAAGCAAGCACACACCCTCAAGAAAACCCTAAAGGTTAATTATTTTTCAAACCTTGTTCAACATTTCGCCATCTCCAGCCATATCCAGCCATATCCCCCATCCAGCCCCATCTGAGCCAGCCATATCCAGCCCATCTACCGGTAACCTTACGGCCACGACCACCCTTACTATCAATAATTTAGTAATCGCTCAAAAGAGATCTAAGCAAGTAGTATTGGATGAATATAGGGGGGGCGCCGTCTCAAAACAAAACTTGTCGATATTCTGTCACTCGATATGTCTCGAGGTCATCGCATAATAACCTTGGTAAGGAAATATGTAGGTCGAATAGGTTCGGAGAATAAACATACATTTAGCTTATTTATGCGCCTGTTCCGCTGTTGTGAATCGTGATATGGTTACAACCTATGAGATGTTATGGATTGTTGGTTGATCAAGGTTCATTGGAATTTTGAAGACATGCTGTGTTTTGAACTTTGGTCTTCTTCAAATCCTGTCATCATTTTTCTTCACAAATCTCCACCATAGAAGTTTTAGAAACTTGTTCTATCTTATTTTTTTCACCCCTTGCCCTCAATTGTCGGATCTCAACCATCCGAAATGAAAAGGATCATCTTAATAAAGATTCATCAAACTCAAGGTGTCAAGGTACCAATTGAAGTTGCCAACCAAAAAAATAATGCCATCATACCGGTATATAAGATCTTAGATCTTACTTATACACAAGGTTAACCACTGCAACTTATTGGTATTTATCACGTGTTTTATATTTACACGTGATGATACCTACTATTTTTCTCTCTCTCGGACATCATTTTTGATGAAATACAACAGATGATCGGACGCAAGTAACCGGGCATGACTTTTCCTCCGAGTTATTATCCTTAGTCTTAGTCTTAGTCTTAGATAGTTTGACAACTATGGTTAGGTGCAGATACGCCAGGATACCTACACCGTTCCTTTGGTTAGCCAAGATCATGCATGTATCCGGAGGTATTCAATTTGACAGTCTCACCACAGTTCATTGCTCACGAGGTATATTGTTTCCTTAACTGCCATAATATAGCCATCATGGAGGGAATAGTCACGAGTCCCCTGGTCTTGTTTTATGGAGAAACAAGAAAAGAAAAACTAATCCACCATTTCAAAACAAACTTCGGAGGAACCCAAAGGGTTATTGTTACCTTGGAAACATCAAACAAACCAAAACAAAAAGCCGTTTGATTTAACGTTAACGGATTACCTTCTCGATAAGTAACACCTTGTCCGTTCTTGATCCCCTTTCTTGAAACCAAAAGAATCCCAAGGCTAAAACAGTTTGTTATCTTAGACATCTTAGACATCTTTTTTTATTATCTCAAGGCTTGATTGAATCCATTGTTGGAAGAACAAATCCAAACGGTCGGGTCCACCATTCATGTTGTTGGGTGCGAATGAAATCCCAATCACTCTATATAATTCCCAATCCCGGCCCGAGGATCCCGTCTATTATCCAATAGCCGGTACGGAAGTATCATCGAGTCCATATGCCGCCATTCTATTCATTTTGCATCCAGACAATATGTCGGCGAATGCCTGGTGCGGGCTGCGGCGAAGCAACGCCATTTTCGAATCATCGGGAACGCCATGCAGTTGATAGCAAACATTCTACCACTCACAATGAACTCTTGACGCCCTATACCTTGGCCTTATTACTTTACTGCATTTTCAAGGTAACCCAAAGGTCATTACTTGTACTATACCTCCGGAGAATATAAAGTAATTGATGTCAAAGGAATGAAGATGCACAATGCTGTCAGATTAACCAAACACTACACTGCCAGCAGAATGCCTCGTACACGCATGGACCTGGACCTGCACATGGATTGTCAATTAATAGGGGGACGGAAACCAACCTAGAGGGGAACAAATAAAAAAAAGGGGGGTGCCACGAACAGTGACAAACTAATTCACATTGATCTAATAGTGACAACGAAGTCAAGCCAAGATCTTGATGAGAAGGAAGAAGTACGACAGCCTCATCTAGAACATGAATCCTCTATACACCGCTTTGATTCCAAGGTTTTGATACGAGAGCAATGACTACTGAGATATTCTCGCTGGTCTAGGATATGTTTCATCATAATTCATTTTACTCAAAGACGATATTGATAACCACTTCTATTACAGAAGTGAGTAGAAATAAACCATAGCATATTGACAGAGGGAGGATTAAATGATAAGCTCCAAGATCATATCATTTGTTAATATGATTCTGAAATAGGAAGAGTGCGAGTTGGACTAAATGTTGCATACCCCGCAACTTTCGGTTCTAGTTTAGTCGACGGCACTGCTTTTTAGCCATTCAGAACTCTGCTCAGACCATCAACATTTACCATCCTCCAATCATGAAATTCAAATTCCCACCATTACATGCATCTTATCACTGCACGGCGAGCTGATTTAAAGCAACCAAGCAAAAGCCGGCAGAAGTTCTGTATCACGATGACTTACTTCTCAACGGGGGGCAAAGGAAAATTATGAAATGCAATTATTGCATGCCCTTCACCAACAACCCACGTTCGTCCCCTGCCTGGTGTAACCGAGACGCCGGAGAAAGACGAAAGGATTTGGGGACAATGGGTTCTCTCGTCTTTCATACCTAAGGATGACTTCTAAAGACCCCTGGTTTTGATAATAATGGTAAGACAAAGGTTTACAATAAACGCAGGCGTGGCGATCTTTCCACTGGGAAAAATACATGGGTGACAACCATTTTCATGCTCAATTTCTCACTCGCCTCACCCACACCACTTTGTCAGCCTGTTATTGCTTGATTCGAGCCGGTCAACCCCTTCACTTTATGTCCTTGCAAGCCGCGCTGGAAATGAGAAATCCAGAAGTATGTTCGGGCTAACAAATATATCTTAATACATGCCCAATACTTGGAATGACAGCGATGCATCTCGCATATCTGTAGCATGTGCGATGGACCATGGACCTATGACTGGCTCCTCAGCCGCTCAAAGTCACTACAAGTATCGTTGGTACTGTATATGTACTGTAGTCCGATCGTAGACAGGCATGTTTATTATTGTTTCTTCCGGTTTCTATCCCTTGTCCACATGTTCCAAGGACGTGTACCGAGGGTACTTAAATGTCTAGATGTGGCCGACCCCCCCCCCCCCCCCTCCCCTCCTCTTGTCATCAGATCACACCTATAACAGCAAAATCCCCCATCATCCATCTTCACGCAAAATTCTTGCTCGTCACACAATAGTAGATGAATGGACCACCGACTAAATTCATTCAACTTCTCCACTTCCCCAGACGCCTTACAGGTTGTCCTAGGATCCGAAGTGGTGCCAAGCGCTTCCAACGGTCTTCGGCAAGATATGCAGAGAAAGGGATGTCAGCCCTGTTGACTACAATCCAACGTTCCCAAGTACATGAGAACGTAAGTATCTTTGTACCTGTACCCCAGCCTCACACGGTGATCTTATGAACCAATCCACACGCGAGCCTGCAGCTCCCTCCGACACCTCTCTTGCGCAGCAACCATCCAAAAACTTCTCGAACCTTCCCGACCTCGAAGACTTCTCTGCCTTCTTCACCTTTCCCGCGCATTCCCCCCCGACCATCCACCCAATGTCGAAGCGTGTAGATCGACAAGAAATTGACCCCAACGCGAGCTTTTCCCTCTCACACAACCACCCATCGACCACTGACACGTCGACTCTCAAGTCGGAGATTCCTTCGCCAGCCAGCGCCCGCAACAAGAGACGCGCCCCGGGTCCGGCGACGGCGACGAATCCTTCTTCTTCCTTCAACATGCAGTCGGGTTCATCGATTGCAGGACCTTCTTCGGCGGGCTTGGATGACCCCAACATGCCCTCGTCGATGGCACCACCGGCTAAAAAGAGTCGCACCAATACTCCCTGGACACCTGCCGAAGAGCAGAGATTGAAGAACATGAGAGATGCAGGTAACAGCTGGGCGGATATCGCAAAGGTGAGATAAGATGAAAAATCTACTTTGGCGCGACCCAAAACGACATGCAAAATGTCAAGTCGCACCAAGCCTTCTCGAGACCAAACCAAGACGTGATCTAAACATGTATTTTGCAGACGTTCCCAGCACGCACCGAAGGTAGTGTGAAGAAACACTGGTATAAGGTACGTACATACATACATACATACATACATACATTACCCCCATCCCCATCTTCGCGTGCACATGATATGATGCTTGGCTCGCGGGGATGATGGATAATGTCTTGGATTATCTAACGTGTCTTTAGGACATGCATTACGCGGAATTCGCGGAAGATGAGGTACGTTCTGTCTGCAGCAGAAACAGCAGCATGCAGCATTCGCGCATGTACGTGCTGATGCTCAAATAGAGTCAGGCTTTGCTCGCGGCCATCAAGGATTACGAGGCGAATAAGTGGAAGGCGATTGGGCAGAAGGTTGGGAAACCCGCTAAGGTTAGGCTTGAGTTTTTCTTTTCTTTTTTGGGTCTCGAGGGGAGGGTTTGGGTTTCGTGGGTTTTGCTGGGTGCTGGGTTTGGATGTGGATATGTATATGTGTAATATTGTGGCTTGGATATGTGTGATGTTGTGGTATTGGTATTGGTATTGGTACTGGTACACAAAACAACCCTATGAATCCCCAGCTAACTCAAAATTCTTCCCCATCCACACAGGCCTGCGAACAATACGCAAAAGATAATTTTGGTGGTAAAATATAAGGAGGATCTTGGTCTGGGTCTGTCAGGGGATGGGAGGAATGAATTTCTTTGCTTGTACGGAATGGAATGGAATGGACGGGATGTACGGTGACTAAGCTAAGCTAAGCTCGGGTTGGAGAGGAAGTTACTTATTTGCTTTACTCATATGTATAAGCATGGATGAGATGGATGAGATGGATGTTTAGTTGCGCGTCGGGTGCAGATCAGGCCATGCCATGTCTATGCATGTATGTATGCTCCTCTCTACTCTTTTGGAAGGTTTCTCTTCTCTGCTCTTTGAGTCTGGGGTTGGATGGGATTGGGATTGGATTGGATTGGATTGGATTGGATTGGATTGGATTGGATGGGCGGATGGATGGACGGCTGGATGAATTTATGGGTGGATTTATGGGTGGTTGGTTGGTTGGATGGATGGATGGATGGATGGATAAAAAGGCGGCATTTCTAAATAAATTTCTCGGCGTTCGAATCGCGACTATATATCTTCTTTCCCTTCTCTTTTCATTCTCTATCTCCTTCTCTTTTCCATCTCCATCCCCTTGCATTCTTGAACTTAAGCAATGGCAATGCCAATGCCAATGCCAACTCCAAGGCCAATAACAATCCAGCTCATACCCGCATACCAGCATCTCGATTGTTTTGCTTTGATTTATTTGATATATCATTCTTCTTTCTCCTCTCTCCTCTGTCTTGATGTTTCTTTCTTTTCTTTTCTTTTCTTTTCTTTTCTTTTCTGCATAGTACAGTACAGCACTGAAATCTCAAAATTTCTCTTTGCGTGCGTGTAAAGTGCAAAGTGCTTGATTTGATTTGATTTGATGTCTAATAGTCCTAGCTGGTGGGCGGGCGGGCGAGTAAGTACGTGAGTGAGTGAGTGATGGTGCGGGGGAGGGGGATTGTATCGGATTGAATTGGGTAGACTTGGTGGATTGGATCGGGTAAATTTGGTCGGGCTTTGTCTACATTTCTTTGGGGGCTGTTAGTAGGATAGGGTAGGGTTGGGACGGAGTGTAGTGAGGGTAGTGAGAGTAAGTTTTTTGAGGTTGGGATTTGTGGTTGGATTCGGATTTGGGTTTGGATTTGGGTTTGCTGTATAGTATAATAGGTTGTGTTTGTGGAGATGTAGATGGGGGTGGGTACATGGGATGGGTGGGCTGGGCTGGACTAGATGGATGGATGGATGGATATGCTAAAGCGTACATATATACATATACATAGAGAAAGGGAAATGAGAATGAGAAAGAAGATTAAGATCAAGAACACAACAAGATAGCGACACAACACAGAATAGCTGAGAATCAGGCAATGAGACACATACTTTACTTTCCTTATTAGTACCAATACTGGTACATGTACAAGTAGATGTACAACTACTAGTACAACCAATGTCTAATGTCTGTCTTGAAGGAAATTATATTGAATTTAATGTGTAACAAGTATTCGAATACTAGTAGTATTGTTTGATATATGTCTCGAGTACCAGCCAGTAGATAGGTACTAGCTTGGCTAGTATACTGGGTAGATAGATTAAATGATTATAATTATAGATTATCTATAAGTATAATATTAGTATACGAGTACTCTATAAGATTACTCTCTTATATTATATTATACTATCGTATAAACTCAGGAATTAGAGAAATAGAAAGTCGAAGCTTTATAATAGTTTTTAGTCTTTTATATTTAATTTTATTCTAAATAGAAATCTTTTAATTATTTCTCGAGCTCGATAGAAAGATATAATTCTTATTTGAAGTTATTATTTAATAATATTTATCTAATAAATAGAAAGAAATAAGCGCTTTATATAGAATAAAGCTAGAATATAATAAAGTATAATAATAGTTAGACTTATTATTATTATTGTTATTGTTGAAAGTTGTGACGGAACAGACGGCTCTCTTCCGCCCACTGGCTCATACTACATACATAGTATGATATGACGGCTCTTTTGGACCTTCCTTTCACAGCTTAGAGCCCTAGCTCTACAGCTCTAGACCCAGGCATTATACGATGCTTATCTCTAGGACTTTTTCATTCTTTTGGGCCTAGCCCTTATAGCTCCCAATACCTATATATATAGTCCTCCTTTTAGCACCCTACATAGTTCTTCACTTTTAGATTCTAAGTACACAATCGGAGTCCTGTTTATACCCTTTTGGTTACAGCTATACTGACGACTTTTAACAATTATTATTATTATATATTTAATTTTTAGTTAATACAATTATCTCAAATAACTAATTAATGTTTTTTAATATTTCTAAGATTACTAACAATATTTATTTAAGTCGAGATATTCTATTTAATATAAAAAGAAAATTATATTAAATCTTCAAAATATAGATTTTAAAC